GATGCCATGTAACAACCCATGGGCTGATCACCTGTTTTTGTAAATAAAGTTTTATTCAAATACAGCCACTTTACTGATTGTGGCTGGTTTTGCACTGCCATGCAGAGTTGAGAAGTTGCAGGAAGACTACATAGCTTGCAGGCCTAAAATATTTGTCTAACTTGAGAAAGTTTGCTGATTGCTGACGTGCAACATTAATATTCTTCCCAAAGTCAAAACTATACAGAAAGGTGTAATCAGAACCAGGCATGGTGGTGCACAGCTGTAATCCCAATGCTCAGGAGACTGAGGTAGTAGGGTCAAGGGTTTGAGGCTAGCCTGGGCTTTGTAGCAAGACCCTGTCTCAAACAAATAAAAAAGGTACAATTAGACAAGTGTCATACTCTTTCATATCCCTTGTACCCCATTTCCCATCCCATACCTTGGTTTATCCACCCTTCATTTCTTTTTGTCAAAAGAAGTATGTATATATACATGTTTCCTTATTTTGTCTTTTTCTTAGATAAAAGGTTGTATACCATGTACAGTTTTTACACTTTTTCACTTACCAACACTTTTGGGAAATCACTCCATATCAGATTGTGAAGATCTTTCTCATTATTTTAGTAATGAGAATGCTGCATGGTATTACATATTTGTGTGTGTACACTACAATTTATTCAACCAATCACAGATATGCAGTTTCTAGTATATTGCAATTTTAAATAGTGCTGCACTGAATAACCTTGTCGGTATTCTTTTTGGTGATAAGGATTGAACCCAGGACCTTCTGCCATGTACTGTATACTGTTATATTATTTAAATTGTGTCTTCAGAGTAAGTACCTAGAAGTGATGAATCATCTTGTATGTCTGTGTATGTATTCATATTGTTGAAATTGTGTCTTTGGGATAAATACTTGGAAGTGAGAATGCTGAGCAAAAGGGTAAATATAAGTATGCTTGTTATATACTGCCAAATTTCTGTCCATAAGGATTGTGTGATAAAGTATGATGACATTTTAAGAAGTTAGTAACATTCAAATATTTCTCCATCTATCATCACCATTTGAGAAAGACTCTGTTCCATTTTATTTTTTTTCCATTCATTAATTTTATTGATATATTTTAGGTATACAATATGCTGACATTCATTATTGGGAATTTGTACCTTTACATAATATATCTTGGTTCTTATTTTTTTCCCCATTCCTCTGCCCTCCCTTCAACCCCTCCACCCCTCCCTATTTACAAACACTTTGTTTCCATTTTTTCCTTTTCTCATATATATTCCTTTCCCTTCTTTTCTTTCCCCTACCCCTTCCACTTCCCCTTCCCCTTTAGATCTTTTCTTCCTGTTTCACATCTATTATACATTTTGATCTTTCTTTACATTTTCAGTTTCTCACACCAGAGAAACTATTCGGTATTTACACGTGTCCTATTTATTTTACTTAAGAGTATGGCTTCAATGGGCATCCATTTAGCTATAAATGCCTCTAGTTTCACATTCTTTATGGCTGACTAGTACTCCATTTTATATAAAAACCACATTTTCTTTAGGTCCCATTTGACCCAGCTGTTCCCCTGCTGGGTATCTTCCCAAAAGAATTAAAAGAATCATACCACAGTGATATATGTGCACCCATGTTCATAGCACAGTTTGTAGTAGCTAAAACTTGTTTTTCTTAACATTTACTTAAACTGTAATTATTTTGAAAAATCAGGGCTGAGGATGTAGCTCAATGGTAAAGCAGTTGCTTAGTATGTACAAAGCCCTGGATTTTTTCCCCAGCACATTTTTTTTTTAAAAATCACTGGATTGTTTGACTCTATATGAGTAAACCAAGTGTTGACTTTGAAAATTGATTAATATTCTTGAATTATCCCTACTTCTGGTAACCTTTCTCTTAGGTTATGTTTTTAACCACTGCTTTTCGGATGAAAGAGAATTTTATATCCTTTTAAGAAGTTGTTGGAATAAATCTTTTTGAGAGAGAGAGAAAAAGAAGACTCAAGAGTTTGCTTAAGAATTTCCTATTATTTTCTTGTATGGTCTGTTGTCTTGTTTAATTGATATTCTTTGTTTTTCTATAAAACTGTCAGACATTAAGTAAAAATGATAAAGGGACAAAATAGTAATCTGATAATTCATGATTTTAGAAGTATGTACATGTTGATTTCTGGAAAATATTGCTAATTAAGTAATGGTGTTCATCATTAAATAATCCAGTTGCTTTAAATATTGTTTTGTAGTCATAAATTTATTAATCCTACTGAATTTGGAATTTATTTCTTAGCTGTCATGTTATAAATGAGTAATTCAGTTTCCATGCCAACCCCAAAGAGGCTTTGAAAAACATTTTTACCTTAGAATTACTCTGAGATTTCATCCACATCTAAAGTTTTTCTATACAAAAATTCATTTATAACTAACAGCACCAGGTCACATCTTCCTTCATTTGTGATATCTCGAATTGGACTGGCATGCAGGAATTTAAAAACTTTGGGTTTGGGGAGGGAGTAGAGATTCTTCCAGGCAATAGTAATTTAATTTATTGACAAAGACTGAGTATCTGGGGATCCAGTATTGCACAACCAAAAAACAATTGCTTTACTCTAATAGCTACCTCCCATTCATGAAACAAATGTTTATCAGTTGGGAAGGTGAAGTTTGCTTCATTTTCTATTTTCTGTTCTTCAACTGTGTGGCTAATTTCTTTAAATACCACTATCTATAATTAGGATTTTACTTCAAATTTACTTTCATTATGTTGAATGTAAGGTTGAATTAAGGTTTACTGATAACTCTCGTAAAAGTGTCTTTAGTTTCTCTTTCTGTGGATATATTATGTACAATGTATATATTTTTTAAACTAGTTACTTGAATGATATTTTCTCTGAAAAGATAATTTCTAAGTTCAGGACCAGTTGTTAGAATGCTGTGAAGCTGTTTCCCACACCTGAAAATTTTTCTGAGCTTAGTTTCTTTGAAAGAAATTAATACGAGATTAACATCACCTACTCCTTTATGCAGATGTTAAAGACAGTGGCTTAGTTTTGTAAATGAGAGGAATTGATACATTCTATCATTGTAAGGTAATAACGAGTAAGATTCTCAGCATTCTAATATTAATATGTTTACTGAGTAAAGGAAAAAAGAAAACCATTGGAATATATAATTTACCTTGAAGTACAACACTGACAAAGTAATTTTGTTCTGCTACTCTTTCTGTCCATATAGCTAAGTTATTATTTAAAGTTTTAGATGAGAAAAGTAATATTTGTCATTTCATTATATACTGATTTGTGAGGAATCTTAGAAAACTTTTACTCATATAATTCTCCTATTGACAAGAAAGCAGTGAAAATGTCTCCATGAGCATATCCTAATAACTATTTGCTGTCTTTGCTAGTATTTTGAAGTAATATTCATGCTTGTGATCTACCTTAGATCTACCTTTTACTCACTTATCTTTAAGCCAGAAAACTTCTGAGAAAATCTGCAAGTTAATAGAACTCCCAGACCCTTCATTCCAGATCAGTAGACTGTTAGTTGCTTTTCAATTCAAAACCTACATTTAAGAGTGCTAAATGCATTTTCTTTTCTGGAGTGTGATACTAAATCCAGGAACCTTAGGTTCATTAAAGAATGTACATTTACAGTATATATATTACTTCTTGTGGGATATAAAGGATCATGCTTACTATCTTCACCAGTTTTTGGTTTTGTATTTTAAAGGATTTACTTTGCTTTCAATTTACCTAAAGGAGATGATGGGTCCCTAAAGAAAAACCCTGCTATTATTTTATTGAAAACATATTTACCTAATCTACTAAATGATTGTGATTTGTCTGAAATCAGTGTATCCCAATCGCTTCTTGGCCTTTTGGCTTAAGTTCAAGAGAAATCATTATAGCCCAAACCCAGAGAATAGTAAAATTCAAATATATATCTGAAAAAGTATTTATTTAAGTTGTATTCAGACTTGAAAGATTAAGAAGGTAAAAACTAAATAGGATTAATTCTGAATTCAATCATATGTCCTTTTTCTCACACAGAAAACATTTTTTTTGCTAACTTTGGAGAACTGCTTGAATTTGAGGCAAAAACAGATACATTAAATAATAAACATTTTTGTGTAACTGATACTTTTCTAAAATGTAGCTCTAATCCATACCTTTTTTATGTTTTGTGAAATGAAAATGCAGTTGTGTTTAGTTATTTGGACTTACAGTTTTGTCGTTTCTTATGTGAGGAACTGTCTTATTTAATAAATTATTTTGACATTCACTAACATTTTGCCTACTTGAAATAGCATTTTCAAGTATTCAATATTTGGTTTAAAATGGTTAAGAAGAGGGAAGGTAAGTAAGACATCTTAGGTCTATGTCACTAAGTACAGAGTATTACATTTCACTACCTCTGGTGTTTTTCTCACCTAAGATACTTAAAATCCAAGTTCTTTATTTTTGTGACATACATGTACCTTTAAAATACACCTCATTATATTTTATGTTTTAAAAAATTACTTGGCAAAATAACATTTTATTAGTTTCCTCCCTCTCAGTTTTTGTGGCATATGCCATTTTTAAATTGGGTGTTATATTCAGAAAATGAATGAAAATATTAATTTCAAAACATACTAGTTAACATCTGGTTTTTATGACTTGCCTACAAAAATAAAAGCCTTATACATTATCTATAATTGATACTACTTAAGGTGGTCAAATAGTGTTGTTACTCTTCAGAAGATTACATTTGTAGCTACTTTTTGGGGAAATACTCAAAATGCTTGGTTCAGATTACTCTTTATGATTAATAACTTTAATTCAAAATGAAACAGATGAAATAAATTCAATTTAGCATTAAATATTTAACCATAAGTAAGCGAGTTAGCATAAAATTTAGTATAAAAAATTCAACAAATTAAATAATTTAGTCTAAAAAGGAATAAAGGAACAGTTTAAAGAGTACAGATAGTCACCACGTGATTTAAATGAGTCATTTTTAGACTTGAATAAGTTTTTAAAGAGATTTTTTTTAATGAGGAAAGAACACATTAAAGTGGCTCAAAAATAAAATGGAGTATATACAATAGAATATATTTTAACGCTTAACACATTGAATACAAATCTTCTTTAAAAACATTTAACTGTCCATGTGTTAATTTTCTTTTGGAGGTGGAGGAAAAAGTTTTCCAAGAGAACACTTCACAGTTGATGGAGCTTTGAGGTTCTGTCCCAGTTAAGGTCCCAGTGGTTTTATTTCAGATAGCTTATATTGTAGATTCATTGTCAGATATCTTTTTCAAGGTCTGTAGGCTATGTTGAATAAAATTCTCTGTTCCTTGAACTTCAGAGAATCTGGAATCGCTTCTCCTGACAGACCAGTTTTTCATTTTTATTGAATTCTGAATTGTGTCTGATGTAAAGTAGTAAACTATAGGGTCAAAACAACAGTTGGAAACAGCAATGCAGAGAGTGATTGGATACATTGTCCTTACTGCTGCCACTACTGAGCAATTAACAAATGTTTGTGTTCTCATAAGAGAATATAAAATAAGATTGATATTGTAAGGTACAAAACAGAAACAGAATATAACCAAATGTACAAAAATCATTTTTAAAACTTTCGTTTTGTTCATTTTGCTTCTACTTAATGTAACAGGTTTATTTAAAGTTCTTAGCACCATACTAGAGCAAGTTACGTTCAAAATTAGAGGAATAAAAAATCCCACTATTTCGATGAAAATCACAATCCTTGAGAGGTAAGTTTTCCACGTGGCTTCCGAAAAGTTTTCAAAGCAGGTTTCTGAGGTATTGTTAGGATGTGAGTTGGTAGATTGAAAAAACACTGCTGGTGCACTTCCTCCCATCACAGTTAACCACACGGCAATGCAAACAATCTTTGCATTTCGTTTGGTTCTTAGAGTCTTTGACCTGAAAGGATAGACGATTGCCAGAAATCGATCTACACTAATGGAAGTTAAAAAGAGAATGCTTCCGTACATATTGGTATAAAACAACATCACAGAAATCTTACAGAGTAAATCTCCAAATGGCCAATTCCGTGTTGCAAAGTAAAAGATCCTGAAGGGTAAAGTGAAAACAAAAAGCAAGTCTGACATTGCCAAGTTAATCATGTACGTGGTAGTTTCATTTCGCACTTTGAGGATGCAGATGAAAATGTATATGGCAACACAATTGGATATTAACCCAAGCACAAACACCATGCTGAACATGCACCCATACAGTGTGTACTTAAAAGAGTCATCATAGGGGCACTGGGAGCTGTTTGTGCTTACCATTATAAAGGCGCGTCCAGCTTGTGGTGTGGAGGTCCTTCTGTGTTGCCGAGGTCCTTTTGTCAGCTGCTGTCTCCTTTGGTATTCAGATTTTGACCACTATAACTTCCAGTATAATTGCAGAGTTTGGATCTTTGGCCAGTTTTATAAAATGCTTTCTCTTTCTCTGAAATCTCCAAAAGAAACATGAAACTTACTGCTCCAAAGTTTCTAGTAGGTTCTTCAACAGGAAAGTACTCTCATTTTCTAGTCTCCTGATAATCCATGAATCCAGGGTCGCAGTCAATGAAGCCAACCCGTAAGATTGCAGACATAAAGAAAAGCTGCGTTTCTGAGTCTGGAAATACAGCCACTTTGTTTTGTAAACTTGTATTTCCGTAGTCAAGATGAATGTTCCAAAGCTAATAGTTTCTTACACTCCAAAATGTTTAAGCTTAGGTTAACAATCTTATTTTGCTTTTCAATGCAAAGTTTCAGAGACTTAAACATTCCCAATTTGTCTTCTACTTTTTTAAAATGAGATTTTCCTTTTTGGTATTCCTGCAGCAGATCCCAGACGGTGGTAAATAGAAGAATCTTTTATAGGTTCTGAAGTAAATTCCTAAGCATGTTAGCTCTTGCTGAGTTGAAGCTTTTTCCGAAGTTGCCAGCTGTAACTGTGAGATGGGCTTTCTCTGAGAGGAAAAAGAAAGGCTTGCTAGATTTGTAATATGACATCACAGGAAGAAGGGGCTGGGTTTGAACAAAGAAAGGTTTCAGCCCAGTTTGTTTGCAGTTCCTTTAATCTGATAATGTGTCTGCTGGGAATATACCTAGGAAGCTTGCAAATGGTCACTGGCTGCTTAGCTGGCTTTTTATGTGGAAATGATTTCTGTGGTTCTGGCAGCATCTCAGAATTGTTTTTGTTTTGTTTTATTTGCATAGTAATAATTGAGAGAGAAAAAAATCAGTTTAAGCCTCTTGTTTCTCTCATTCAGTTGCTTCTATGTTTGGCACTGACCTTTTTTTAGAAATAAAATATATATGGGTGCACACTTGTAAATTATAGTTTTTAGGAATATCTTAATATAGCAATTTAAAGAACCATTTAATGACTGAAAGACAGACTTTTAGAGACCAGTGGTAATTCTGCCACTCTTGTGTCTTCTGGTTTTTTCTGATTACTCAGATTCAACTTGATTGGTGTGGTTGTGACTAGCTTTAATTCTGGTTCTCTTTAGTTTTTGATAATTTCCTAACATCCTTCCTATGAGACTGAATTATTCTTTTAGAGCTATTTCAATTTTTTTTTTTTTTTTTTTTTTGGTACTGGGGATTGAACTCAGTACCTTGTGGCTGCGAGGCGGGCGGCAGCACCACTGAGCTAAATCCCAGGCCCTATTTCAATTTTTATATTACCCGTTTCACAAATTTAGCTCCACAATAGAGCATATGTTTAGCATTTATGCTCTGGATTTCATCCCCAGTGCATGTGTGTGCGCACCTACACAGACACACACAAAATAATAATAATAATAACAATAATAATAAATACAAAAGAGAGAGAATGTTTATCTTTGGTATGGTATTAATTTTATTTTACCCACAATTTAAGCACCAGTGAAGGTGTATTCTTTTTGAAAGCAAAATGCCTTTCTTCTTAAATTGATTGGAATAGTTTATGGAGAATAACAGTTCTATGTAGCTGAATTTTAGATTCATAATTTTATTTTTGTTCTTCCCAGCTCTATTTTTCACTGTCTTGCTATGACAGTAACCATATGCTGTAATGTATTTTAGGTCTTATTTTCATTTAAAAGTTCCTATGAATGGTTTCTGTATTTTATTGAAAGTATACTCATCCCCTCCCCCAATCAAAAGAACATATGGATGGAATGAAGGCAGATGAATGTAAATGTTATTTCCTCAAGGATTAAGGCTGTCACACTGTTGAGATACATGTTTTTCTTATTTTGAACTACTTTTGTGTGTGTGTGTGTGTGTGTGTGTGTGTGTATGTATATTGATGTGCGTGTGTGTGCATGCGGCTTCCAAGACTGAAACCGGGGTTTGGTGCATGGCAAGAACATGTTCTACCACTGAGTTATGCCCTCAGCCCCTAAAGTATCCTCTTTGAGAAAAGAGTAGATCTAGTTGTGTTTTACTGTTAGTATTCTTGAGTATCAGTTAAGGAATTTAAGAGGAATTTATTTTTCCTTAATAAATTACTTAGCTAATTTAAAAATAACACATTACAATATTGTTTTATACTGTTTCCACATTTTTACTTATGTATGTTGATGAATTATAATTATTTCAATTTGGAAATTAATCTACAATCAAATGGTATAAATATGACTTATAACCAATAAACTTAAAACATTAAGAGTTGAATTACTTTGTATCTTTTTTGTATTTTCTTTGGTATAAAAAAAGGCACAGATGTGTTTATATTAGAAAGCTGTTAGAAAATTTGAGTGGGCAGTAGTGAAAAAGTAGTTAATAAGCCTAGACCTGGTTTACTTTTACTTTCATTTTGAATGTGGTATTTTCTCAAAGAATTAAAATATATTCTATACTGGAATATTCTTCATATAATTGTTACTCCCCTGTTTATTTTTAGTTTTTTCGTGTTTGAGTTGATGTTTAAAAATGAATATATAACTATTTGTTAAATTATTCATTATTCAACATTATTTTCATTATTATCTGTATATTTGTATATCTTTGTATTTCTAATTCTTAGCACAATTTTGACCCTTAATAGATACTGATGTGTTTGCTGATGAATGAATCATAGCAATAAACTTGGGTTTTTGTTGAGACTTGTTTCTAATAAGCAATAGCAATGGAGCTGTTTCAGCAGGAAGAATATAATGTATTATTATTAGATTTTTTTGAGGTATTTTATTTGCCAACTTATGGGACCAAAGTGAAATTTGATATTATGGAAAATCCTTAGGATTTTTTTATACAAAGACTACTTACAAAGAAAGTTTTAAAAATTCAGGGAATTAAGTATATTAAATAGATGCTTTTGTATTTGATGAACTCATACAAACTTAAGGTGGGATTTATACACTTCTGAAATTTAAGAGTGGGAGTCAGTTTTTCTTATATGGATTTTTTTCTTTTTTCTGGTGGGTGGGTAGGTGGTGAAATAAAAAAACCAAAGTCAGGGGCCAGGGATTTAGCTCAGTGGTGCTATGGCTGCCTCACAAGCTCAAGTTCCTGAGTTCCATCCCCGGTGCAAAAAAAAAAAAAGAAAAGAAAACCAAAGTCAGAAGCTGAAGTGGTAAAGATAAATTTTATTCAGGACTGTTGCAATAGTATACGTATACAACTGATTTGAATATAGTATACCTATACAGTTGATTTGAAGTATAGTAAATCTCATTATGCATCTCATCACTTTTCAAATTTTAATTATATACAAAAGCCAAGTGAATAACCACCTAGCTTATAAAGTAAATTTTTTATTAGTACATTAATAGTCTCAATCTTTTAGATGTATGTTTTTTTTTCAGATTGAGAGGGAATATTTTGTTAGTTATCAGAAGTTTAAGGATTTGGGTAACTTCTGAGTTCCTGATTAATTCTACTGTGATATGGCTTTGAGGAAAACTTACCCAGGCCTGCTTCAAAACAGGCTCAAAACAATGTTAAACCTTTATTGAACACTAATATAAATCAATACAGTGTAAGGTGTGTTCCTCAATCAGTCTTTTCTTTTTCATATAGGTTATTTCTTGCTTTGGTAGTAATAACATTTTTATCTTGTTCCTTCTTTATTTGGACTGCCATCTTTTTTGTATAAATCCATTCACTCTGATCTATATGGTTATTATAATGTCTTCTCTTCCTGTTTCTAGTCCTGTGGTCTACCTATTGCCCCCTATTAGACCTTTTCAGATCAACTCCTGAGTCACTCAACTAATTATATATTATCTTCTTGCTTCCAAAAAGAACTTATAGCAACTATAATTTTAAAATGAATATGCTATCAAAACCAATGGAACAAACACTTAAGATTTTAGTATTTTATGATAGGCAAATTATACTTTAGTTAAAAATTTTAAATAGAAAGTCAGTGTGAAAGACATAACACTTTAAAACATGAGGACTGGGGATGTAGCTCAGTGGTAAAGCACTTTCTCAGCATGTGTGAGGCCCTGGGTTCCATCTCCAGGACCGTAAACTAAAGTAACTAAATATGAAAAATATGAGAGAAATTATTTTAAACATTTCATATTATTCTAAAAATTAATGTTGAGTTCAATAAATGTTTCCACCCCCCCCAAAAGAACCAAACCTTAAAGCATAAATCCATTATACATTAGTAAAAGAATTAAAGTCATACGTGTGTGGGGAGGAAGAAGTGTAGGAAAGTGTGGGAAATAATATCAGAAAAACCAAAGCTAAGGGAAACTGTTGCATTTGACACAGGCAAAATAAAAAAAATATGTGTAGCGGATTATGTTGTCCTCATTTAGTGAAAAGAATCTTTCTAGAATGTCAAGAAAAAAAACTTCTCTTTAACTCAGAAATATATTATGAAACTTTATACATATAGAATATTTTGTAATGGTGGAAATATTTATTAATGAAATGCCATTTATTACTGACTCTTATTTGAGGAAAAATACTAAATATCAAGCTATGGTTCTGAGAAAACATATTTTTTTGTTGGTAGATACATGATGTGGTATTTTAACATTGGGCTAGTTTGATCATCTAATGCAAAGGATCTGTACCTGGGGACCTTGAAATCCCTTTTGTATATACCGCACCCTCCTTAGGAGCCTTTATGAGATTCTCAAACATTATGACTAGAAACAGATAGGAAATACAGATCTGAAGAGAAGAAAGATCAACAACTCAAGCCTCCAAGCTGTTTCTTGGAAATATTGCTGAAATATTTTGACATTTTTTTCTCTATGTACACTGGAAGGAATCTAGGCTGTCAGTTGCTAATGCAGATTCTATGTAAAAAGTAATACAGAAATAAATACATGTGTGTAAGCAATAAAATGTGAATCCCATGTATATTTTTTAAAAGGAAAGTGTAAAAGTGTACTATTAAAGAGCACTAGGCAGAGAACAAGAGAAGCTTCATAGGCAGTCACTTGGCTTTTCTAGGATTCTGGTTTCTTGGCTGTAAAAGGAAGGGAGTTGAACTGCACAAGGGTGCCTTGCTGCTTCCATATCTGATTCTGCTTCTTTGAATACTTTGAATGTTTAACTGCTGCATTTTTTTCACTTGTAGGTATAACAAATCAAGGAGTCACTTTTTATTCTTAATGTTTAAGGATTTCTGATTTTGAAACCAGGCTTAACAAGAAACATGTATGAGGCTCTTGCTTCAGAAAAGAAGAAATGCTAAATATTTTTGTAGTAAATAAAAAGGGAGCCTTTTATTTATATTTCTATAGCATTGTTCTCCAAAAAAATCTTCTTTCCAAAATACAAATAAGATGCCATTTGGTCTTACTATGAAATTGACCAAAGATCAAAAGTATTGATCAAAAGTATTCTTTTATTCATGGAGGTATTCTCTCATTAAATTTTTTTAAATGAATTTTATTGGTACATTTTCATATACAATATAATTACATTCATCATTGGAAATCTGCAACCTTATATAATCTCTCTTGGTTCTTATTTTTTCCCCATTCCCCTGCCCTCCCTTAAATCCCTCCCTATTTACAAACACTT